CCGGTACCAGGAATCAAACTCATGACCTTGTGCTTGCCAGACAGGTGCTGTGCTGCTGAGCTAAATCCCCAGCCCAAGGTTGATCTATACTATTCTTTGTCACCAAGAGACAACTCTACATTTAACCTCAGCCCCATTAGTGTAGTCCACTAGCCAAATACAGGTGTGATAAATAATATGAATAAATAAATATGAATGTTTAAATGTTTAAAAAATTATGACAGTAAAATAAACAGTGTCATTGATCCCCTTCAAAATATTCCTCCTCTTCAAACACACTCATCCCATCATTCTTGTCACTGCCTAACGAGTTCTAGAAGTTCTCTTTCATGAGTCTCTTTATGTGGTATGATAAAAAAATATGGTGGATGCTGCTGCTGGGTGCTATTCAGTGGAAAGGGAAGTTTGTAAAGACACTACAGTGTTTTTACTACACCTCATCCATCTATACACCAGATCTGGCACCATGCAACTTCTGGCTTCTTCCCAAAGTCAACATGTCTATGAAAGGTAAACATTTGGAGTCAATTCAGAGTACTGAGGCAGCTACAACAGCACAAATGAAGACACTCATGAAAAGGAATTTCTAGAATTGCTTCAAAAAGTGGTAAGAATGATGGGATATGTGTTCGAAGAGAGGAGTATTTTGGGAGAGATTAACGGCACTATGTCTTTTATAGTAATAGAATTTTTAAAAACTTAACGTTTACTCTAGTTTGGGATCATATCACATGACTCTAACCACTAGCATTTATACAAACTGTAGTTGTTTATAACACAACATTTTTGTACTATTGGACATCCAGTGGCTTCTGTCAAGTGACATCTGCCTGTGCTGTCTGTTTCAGAATTTAAACTCCTAGAAGACAGAATTTTAGGACTTGAGGCACAGGGCATACATGGTATATTGTGATTGCCACAATCAGTGTAGGAGTCCAGACAAGATTCCCTCCCAGATACATTGTTTTCTATTCTTAAAGGGGAATATAATATAATGAAAACAAAAGTACAATGTGGTTGATAAGTTATTTGGACTTACTTTTTAATTTACATGTAGTTTTCTAATTCAGAATTAGTCCAGTAATGGGATGGGATTTTTTATTTTAGCAAGTCCCATTAAAATGGAAAACATTACTAGAAAACTTGAGATAAAAATTTATTTAGTATAAGCACAAGATATATTTTCACAGACAAATTTTTTACCAAGAGGCTTAAAAGGACATACAATTACACTATAAATGAATATATATATGTATATATATATACACACACACACACATACACACACCAACATAGGTGAACCTAAGTTATTTGTATTAAATAGAATGGCCTAGGTAGAGTTCAGGTATTTTCACTTAGCTTAAGAGGAATGGGAAAGGGGGTCAAAAGTGATCAAGAAATTATATATATTCCCCAAAATAATAAATGTAATTATTATGTGTCACAAATATACACTAATTTAAAAGTGTGAAAACTTTTCACACTGTAGAGTAGAGGTTTTCAGGTATAGTATCACTACATTCAGCACACACTCATGGGCTTATTCTAAAGTGGTCTGCTATGGCTGAAGATAGAAGGGAGGAGTTTGAGCTTCTGCAAGGTTTGACACAGTAAGAAAGGCCCTAAAGTTTTACTTGTGCTGCCTGCTATGCACACAGATGATGACTTAGATACACTTCCCAGACTCAGCCAGTAAAGAAATATCCCCTCGGTTGCGCACATTGTCAGAGAGAGATGGAGAATGCTTACCATGTTGTACAAGCTGAAGCACCAACGCTCAAATAAAGCCTGCCCGGAAAATCCATTAACAAAGGTGAACCAAAGCTGGAAGAGAGGGAAGCCAAGTGGAGAGTCATTCCGTCAGCGTTGACCCAAATCTATCCCTATATCAAAAGGAAGGGGTATAGAAGAAGGACCCTTCAGCTGGCAGAGCTGCTACAGAGGGCCATGAGGCTGTCCTCCAATAAATTATGAACTGCAAATACCACTTACTACTGATATTAAAAGTATCAGTCTAGGGGCTGGGGATTTAGCTCAGCGGCAAAAGCGCCTGCCTGGCAAGCGCAAGGTCGTGAGTTCGGTTCCTGGTACCGGAGAAAAACCAAAAAAACCAAAAAAAACAAAAAAAATTTAAAAAAAGTATCAGTCTACTTGGTAATGAATGACATATGTCTTTACACAAAAATATAAATCTCTTACAAAAATCCATTTATTAAAAAAATCTCTCAAACAAGTAACAAATGTTACTTTGTAGCAAGTAATAAATTGTATGCCTTCTATGGGACTAGACACCAAAAATATCTTTTTAAAATTATAGTATGTTGACAGTGATAGCATATACCGGGCACTTGTAATATGCTAGACATTATGGTATTACTTCAAATCCATGGTCATATCTAACCACCATGGCAATATTATAAAATAGGTATTATCATCATCATCATCATCATCATCATCATCATTATTCCTGATTTAAGAATAGTGGAAAGTGAGGTTTGGGGAGGTTGAATTATTCACTTAGGTCACATAGCTAATAAGTGACAGAGATGAAATTAAAACCTAGGTCCACATGACACATTACCATACTCTTAAACTCTTTGTTAGGGGTGACTTGTGAAAATGTGTCCTTAATATAAAACTCTTCATGTCATTAATATCACAAATTAGAAAAAAAAATTCTTCTTTGGCCGTATTTCAGAGTTTGGGATTGTCATTACTGAAACCTCCATTCCCTCTTTCAACCATAAAAGCTAGATTTTATTTTGTTTTGATTGACCTGTAATAACTGTATATACCTACAGGGTACAGTATGTTATTTTTGTAGAGGTATACATTGTGTACTAATTAAATCACATAGTAAGCATATCTGTCACCTTCATGCTTGTAATTTAGAAACACTATTTCTAGTTTTAAATGCCTACTCTATTGCTTCTGTTGCCTCACTGATGGGTGGAATTGGATGACTGAGTTGGCTTTTCTGAACCTCAGTTTCTCATAGAATTTGCAAACTTTAAATAAGATAATACATAAAAAAATCATTATCACAGTGCCTGACATGTTGATACTATCCAATAGAGATATTTTGTTACTTAATCACATATAATAAACATATAATTTTCAACAGTAAGCCTCTAATCCTCTTCACAATGACTTGGAATTACAATAATTTGTGAAGTACAACTTGTGTTCTGAAAGCTCTGATAGTCTAATTGATTAAGAAATAACCACACAATAAACCAGCCATGGGAGTTTAAACCTGTGATGCCAGTACTCTGGGAGGCTATGCAGGAATATCGAAAATTTGAGCCCATCCTAGGCAACTTAGCCAGATCTTGTATAACAATTAAAATAGCACCAGGGATGTAAGTCAGTGTGAAGGTCCTGGGTTCACCCCTAGTACAATGGGGAGCGGGGAAGAAGTGTTCCCCAAACTGTTTTATAGGTTCAACCCAATTCCATCAAAAGCCTAGCTGTTTTTTGTAGACATAGTTATGTTTATTCTAGAATAATTAAGAAAACTCTGAAAAAAATAAAGTGGGAGGAATTACCCAGCTGATGTTAAGGCTAACTCTACAGCTAGAATAATCACGGTGGTGGCATATTGATTTATTTATTGGGACAGGGATGTACACATTGATTATGCAAGCACTTTGCCCAAATATGCTGAGCTGGTTTATTTGATTTTGTTTTTAATTGTGGTAAGAAACACAAAATTTGCCATCACAACCAATTTCAAGTTTATGGTTGAGTGATATTAAGCATATTAACACTGCTGTGCAACCAACCTTTAGAATTTTTTTCATCTTGCAAAAATGAAATTCTATATTATTAAACAATGAGAGAAATGTTTATTCATGTCCTTTGCCTACGCTAAATCACATTTTGTTGCTGCTATTTTGAGTTATTGGAGATCTGTATATACTCCAGATAATAGCTACTCATCAGTATACGATTGGCAAATATTTCCTCCGCTTCCATAAGATTGCCTTTGCATATCACTGTGTTCTTTCATGCGCGGTTTCGTCACTTTTTGCGTTTGTGTTATACCCACGAAATCATAACTAAACCCAATGTCATGAAAATTTTCTCTTGTTTTCTATTAGAATTTTTATAGTTTTCCAGCTTACATTTAGGATTTTACTCTATCTTGACTTAATTTTTCAATTAATATTATATAATGGTCCAGCATCATTATTCTGTGTGTAAATATCACTTCCCAGCAACAGTCGCCGACGAGGTTTTTGAATATTGATTCAATGTCCTTCCTAGTTGTGTTTGTTCAGACTTCCTGTGTATTATTTTTCCTACTGACTTTCGACAAACGTGCAGAAGCCATTTAATTGGAGAAGGTAGCCTTTTCACTGAATGGTGCTAAACAATTGTACATACGTGGGTGAAATAAAGACAATCACAGCTTTCACCTTACACAAAAATTATGTATCATTAAGTTAAATGTACAATACAAGCCTTATGAAAATATGTACAAGAAATATTTGGAATCTAAAACTAGACAAAACATTTTTTGACAAAGCACATACATAAGAGGAAAAAGTAATAAGCTGGCTCTCATAAAAATGTTTTGTGCAAGACTCTATTAAGACAATGAAGTGCAAATTATAAAATTAGAGAAAATATTACAAATTATGTATCAGGCAAAAGACTAGTAACTAGACTAAGTGAACTCACCAGGTAGTAAAAAAAAAAAAAAAGAAAAAAAAAGAAAACCTAATATGCAATAGAAAATGGACAAGAGAGATGAGGAGACCTTTCACCAAGGAAGATAAGTAGATGACAAATAGGTAGATGGCAAACATGAAAAGATGTTTAACATCATTAGCCAGTAGGGAAATGGAACTTAAAACCACAATGAGATACCTTTCCACATCTATCAAAATGACTAAAAAAGAAATAGTGATAACACAACAGACTGGCAAAGATCCAGAGAAAATGAAAGATGGAAATACAAGAAAGAGCCTTGTGACAATGCAAAAGTTCTACGTCTTAGTGTCCGTGGTTGCTGTGCGAATCTAAATGTGAATAAAAGTACAAGGGCAGGAGTGCACACACAGGCACACGCGTGCACACACAAATGTGTGCTCTTAGGACCGTGCCACTAAAAATGCGAGGCTCATTACCGTGCTTTAATGGAAGGGACAGAAATATTATGGTAATAATCGTCGCATAACAGAGACTGTCCGTTTCAGTAGGAATGCAGCTCAAAGAGAAAAGAGATTTCTGGTGTGTTTAATCACTGAAAGAAGCCTGAGGAGAGCTACTGTGGTTCCCAGCTCTGTGTATGTGTGTTTATCATAGATTATACCAATAAGTTGTCATGATAAGATGTTTTAATTAACACTTTTTATGTAGTCACTTTTGTGAGAAAAAGCTTAAATCAAGATTACATTGTTAATACAGTTAAAAATAGAATGGGGAGGGGGCCGTGAACTTAGAACAGACCTCTGCAGTGGGCCCAACAGACCAAAGCAAAATAGAGTTTAATCACAGTATCTGAGTATTGCAGGTTGCAGAAGATCTTGTAGCCAATTGATTAACTAAGGTGTAAGTAATTAAATATCTAAGCTGAAATCGATTGACTGGTTGGTTAGATTATCTCTAATTAATTTGTTTTCTATGTCTGACTTCTGTTTTTCTATAAATGCTGTCAGATCACATTGTTGCTTGAAATTCTCAGAACCTGCTTGATTTGGGGGGCTGACCTCTTAAGAATCATTTTTGCTTTGCTTTGCTTTGCTTGAACAAATTCTACTAATTTTATTGGTCTGGAGAATTTTTCCTTTAATAGCACTTTACATGAGAACTTTAATGTGGGAAAAAGTTTTAAACAGCAAATCTGACATCAGAGAAAATACCCAATTCTTTGATGAAAGAAAATGTTTCTTTCTTACCCCAATAATGTATAGCACTACATTCTTGTAGAAACAATACAATATGCATTTAGTCACTCGAAAATAATTCCATGCTCCATGAACCAACAGAAGCTTCTCCAAGTAGCTAAACTGAAAGACAAAAACAAGTCAATGCAAGTTAAAATGAACCTAATATTTGTTAAATGTTATTTTAACATAGAAGATGAGCAGAATGAACCCAATTTCTAAAACAGCCCAACAGCCACTTTGCTATAAAAGCAATGCTAAAGTTTCCTAAAGTTTCCTTATTGCTTAAAAAAGAGTAAGCCATTAAATATCACTTTTCTGCCACCAAATGCTGCTTAGTTGTCTACCATGTGCAAAGCACTTTAAAAATTAAATTAATTTTTCCATGCCTATGCTTCTGATACACATTTAAGCTCTTGATCATGAGGAGTCAGAATTATTTAATGAAACAAACATCATGTGAAACAAGAAACTCAGGTTTAATCATTGAGTTTTCTCGTCTCTTTTGGTGGAAGTAACAAGGTCTTATAAGAATCAGTTCCCAGTTTCCTATAATAAATAATTAGAATGTATAAGGTAAGTAATGGGCACTCTCTGCGGCCCTCCTTAGCCTCTGCACCTTCTCCTTTTTCCTTTCCCTCACTACTTCACTGCCTTCTGATGCAAGATGTACTGAACTTATTTGTCATCTATCGTTGTCTCCTAAAATGTAAACTGTGTAAAGCAAGTACTAGCCAGCTTTCTGCCACTGTGACAAAATACCTGAGATAATCAACTCATAAAGAGGAAAGATATGTTTTAGGCCATGGACCTAGAGATTTTGGTCCATGATTGGCTGGCACCATTGCTTTGGGTGGGTGGTGATACAGAACATCATGGTGGGAGTGCATGGCCGGGGAAGCTGCTCACCTGACGGCAGCTGGGAAGCAAAGAGAGACACAGGAAGGAGTGGGAGTCTTGATGTCCTCCTCAAAGAGAAGTCCCCAGTGTCCTAAATTCCTCCCACTAGCCTGCCTGCCCTAAAGGTTCCACTGCTCCCAACAGTGCCACAGGTTGGCAACCAAGCCTGTAACATGGACCTTTAGGAGATGCTTCCAACCTATGGCAGGGCAGGACTCTTTGTTCACTGAACACCTAGAAACCCGATAAACATTTTTAATGCACTGTCAGGAGAACTACTCCACAAATTCATGGTAATTTAGTGAGTCCTCAATTTAAGTAGTGACTTCAAAGTAGTGGGAGTTGGTACATACAAACAAAAATAAAAAGATTAAGAATTTAGAAAATTAAGGGTCAGGATGTTGGGGGGGAGAATTAAAATCATAAATATTTAGATTAACCAAAACTAAATAAATTTAAATTTTATTTACGAGCCTTTGAAACTGATATTAAACTTAAATCATCATGGACAGTATTCCAATTGCCCAAGTTTCAGCTTTGCGATGATTTATTTTTTGAGGGGAGGAATTCTGACTCAAAGTTCAACTTCTTAGGATAATATAAAAATATTAAGAAGTTTGGGGAGGGGGAAGCAAATGATTCACTCTCTCTAGAGAATAAAAAGATGGAGGTTATGAGCAGAATGTTTCACTAATAACTCTGGGGTAGGGGAAAGTTGCACACAGGAGGCCACAAAGCAAAAAGATAGGTGTTTGACCAATCACTATAGCTCAGGTAAGGGGAGAAGGAAGAAAGGGCAGAAGTGGATAATGTCTACCACAGTACTTGGGATAAGCATAATTCTAGGGATAAGTATAAAACAACACACACCATGGCAGGGTATACATTCTATCACCTATCAAAGTTGCCCTCACTTACAACAAGATTAGAAAAAAATGATGTGGCTTGAAAAGTGCTTTCATTAACCTAAAATAGCTTTTCAGTAGGATCAGTGTCCTGTACATGGGGCTGCGATGATGTGACAACTTTGTTTTTCTTGTCATTGTTGCTGTTGCTCTTGTTGCACCTGCTGCTGTGGCTGCTGTTGTTGTTAAGGGGGAGAGGTGAACAGCACAATGGTGACAGACAGAAGAAGCACAAAGAAAGAGGCAGGCGAGGAAAGATTGTTAAGAAAGAGGAGGAAAGAGGGAGAGAGGAGATCGAAAAGAGAGGAGGGAAGAGAGAAAGCGCTGGTGTCATATCATTATGGAATAAGATAAAACCCGAAATCACACACTGTCTGCCTAACCACAAGGGCAGCTGGGACACTAAAGCCCAAAACAAAGGCAGGAAAAGGTTTAATGTCAGGTTCCTGAGAGTATGAAGTGTCCCAGAAGAGGACAAATGCTGGTCTCCTAGAAAGTAAGCTCAAAACCCTGATTCTGTCTCCCAGGGTTCCCTTTAATTTTTAACTCTAAAGAAAACAACCTAATAACTCTAAATCCCACCAAAGTTTAATTTTAAAAGATAAGATATATTTGAGAAAACAGCAAGCAGATGTTCACCCCAGGCTCCTGCTAGTGCTGTGTCTAGGGATTTTAGTAGTTGAAGGATGTGTCCCATGTGATTACTGAGACTGCAAGCAGCACACATCCCAGTGGTAGTCAGTACTCAAGGGAACAGGTGAGTTCTGTTTGGCCATTTCCTTGTCTACAGACAGGTGTCCTGATCATAGTCCATAGCACATGGACTCAGCTCAGCCCACCTGACTCCCGGGAACTCCAGTCTGCCCAACCATAAAACAGGACACTAAATCCATGAGCAAACAGGAGACTCTCAGAAGTGATCTGATCGCAATATGGGACAATGTGTTTTCATCTATGCTGAAGGACCCATAAGAATACACGTTGTGGGGCTGAGGCTGTAGCTCACTGATAAACCATGTGGTGATCCCCAGAACCACAGTGAAAACAACGAAAAAGAACGTGTGCTATGACTACACTAGCTTTACACATCTACTTAGCTGCTGATGGGTAGTAAAATCATATAGCCTCTCATAAGTAGCTTACAGCTTCAAATAGGGAAAACCTACCCTGAACTTGCCAAGAATGAAAAATGTCACCATTTATTGTTCAGATGTGATGAAATGTTTAGTCATTAAAAGCCAGTATCACATTATTAATTAAAATATATTATCCAGAAGTTAAGGGCTGGGGATATAACTCAGCGGCACAGGGCCTGTCTGGCAAGTGCAAGGTTGTGAGTTCAATTCCTGGTTCCAGAAAAAGAAAAAAAAAAGTTAAAAGCTGAAATGTAGAAAAAGAAGGATATTTTAGTTAAACGGCAAAGAATATTGTGTAGTGCTTTCTCTATGATTCTTGAGAATGCTGGCTCCTACTTTTGACTGGAACACCAAATCTGCTCCACATCTCCAGGCCCCAGAATCATGAGGTTGGCTTTTTCCATTCACCGATTAAGAAATAATTATGGCTGTTCTGGTTTGGATGTGGTCTGTCTTCTAAGGGTCTATGCATTAAAAGCTTGCCTGCAGGGTGACAGGATTGGGACATGGTAGCAACCTTTAAAAATGGAGACTAGTAGGAAATCTTCAGAGGTCACTGTTAGTCTTGGCCTTAGAAGGGATTAAAGCAGTTCTCCTGGGACCTCCTCAGTAGTTCTCTTGAAAGCACTGTTATAGAAACCCAAGCTTGAGGCTAGCCTGTCCTCCTGGCTTCCTGCATCAGGATGTGATCCCTCCCTCACACATATGTTCACACGACTACCCTCTGCCATTGTGTGATGCAACTGAGAGGACCCTCACCAGAACTGAGCTGATGCATGCACCATGCTCTTAGCTTCCAAAACTGAGCTAATGAAACTCTTTCTTCATAACTACCCTACCCCAGGTATTTTGTTATAGCAACAAAAAGCTGGGTAATACAGCCATATTAATGGGAATTTCCTTTAACAGTATTGTGGTTATTCTTCCTGGGAAAGATGGAAAATGAGATATAAGAGGGATATAACCTAGAATAAATTGCTCTATAAGTGAATAAAAGATGATATTGTTCTGGTAAGCAAATTTGCTTATTTGGTTTTAGGATTTGCAGGGTCAAATAATGGCCACTGTTCCCAGGAATTCAGCTACTGGTCCACTGTGTAAAAAATGTAGAGGTATAAATCATAGCATGTACTCCTCTTCAATGTCTACCTAAAGTGGTAGAGCCACTTTGGAAGAGAGTTTGGAGATGTCTTATAAAACCAAACATATTCCTACAATACAAGCTAGCAATTCCTCTCCTAGGTATTTACCAAAAGATGTTGAAAAGTTATATCCACTCACACAAAAACCTCCTTTATTTCTAATGGCCCACACTTGGGTGAGACCAAGATAAACTTTATTAGGTGAGTAGAAAACCAAACTGGTAATCTAGAAAGTGGAATATTATTCAGTACTAAAAAGAAATGAGCTACTAAACCATGAAAAGATACGGAGAAGACTTAAATGCATATTAAGCGAAAGAAGTCATTCTGAAAAGGCCACGTACTAAATAATTCCAAATATACAACATTCTGGAAAAGTCAATGCTATGGAAACAGTAAACTGATCAGTGGTAGTCAGCAGTTGCATGTGGAGGGGTGTTGCATAAGTAGAGCACAGAGGAGTTTGAGAGAAGCTGCTCTGTGTGATTCTGTAATGGTGGATGCATGCCATCCTGCATTCTTCCAGACCCACAGAACATACAACGTCAAGAGTGAACATTACATAAGCCATGAGCTTTAGGTAGTTGTGATATTCAAATGTAGATTTATCAATTGTACAAGTGTAATGCTGTAGCAAGGGGTACTGACAAGGGAGGAGGCTGTGCAGGGGTAGGGGCATAGGTGCACGGGAAAACTTTTTAGCTCCTGCTCAATTTTGCAGTGAACCTAAAATTGCTCTAAAAATAAAGTCCATTTTTAAAAAAAGCCTGCAAAGAGACAGTGCCTCTTTTTTCACCATTTAATAAAAAAAAAAAGAAACAGTAACACTGTGTCTTTCATAAACTCTCATCAATAGACAACTTGAAGCTTGCATGGTGGCATGTGACTGTAATCCCAGTTATTTGGGAAGCTGAGGCAGGAAGATCGCAAATTCAAGCTCTGGGTTCAATCCCCAGTACAAAACAAACAGACAAACAAACAAGCAAACAAATACTATGAAGCAAAACATATACTACATATTATATCAGAAAGACTGATATAATAGCAAAGCTATGGAATTTTGGTAGCAACAATTTAGTCAACTCCATAGTTGATTGGTGGAAAACTGCTCTAAAATATGTAAGGAGAAAATAGCCTTAGAGAACCCTAAATGTGCTGCACGTTTCCCTTAGAAGGCAGCTTAGACAGGCAGAATACGCCTCAAGGGTAAATCAAAGTCCTGATATCTTGAACACCCAGCTGGCGTCCTGGGCCACGGACCTGCGCAATGGCGTAATCCGAGTTGTTGGTGGCTTGCATGCCTTCGTTCCCACTGATCCCCACTCCCACGTGGGCCGTCTGGATCATCCCGACGTCATTGGCACCGTCCCCAATGGCAAGTGTGATGGCCCTTACGTTTTTCTTAACCATTTCCACTATTTCAGCTTTCTGGAGAGGAGACAGCCTGAAAAGGAACACAGAAATGATCACGTTTAATGTTTGGGTTCATTTTATTTCACACCGTTCTAGAAATCTTTACAAAGGATCAACAATAATTTGCACATAGCTTCAAAAGTTTGTCAATAGAACCTTTTTAACTTAGTGAATACAATTCGCTGATTCTTGATATTATTTCCTCTGCTGTTGGAGCACTATTCAGGACTTTGTGCCTACGAGTTCAAGTGTTTGCCCAACATTATCTTCCAGAAGAAGATAACACAGATGAAATTATTAATATGTTTATAGAAATCATAGTGGAAGCTTTGCCAAATTTGAGAAATGAGTTTAAAATATAATAAGGAGGGCTGACAGAACACCAAACAACTATGATTTTTTAAAAAAAGAAGCAGCAGCTCACTGGGTATATCCTTATTAAATTGCCAGATATCCAACTAAAATAACTGCAGAATTTTAAATGCAGTCAGAGAAAAACAACAACAAACCAAATATAAAGGTATACCACTTAGAATTATAGCACACCTTAAAGGCCAGAAGAGCTTGCAGTGAAATATCTCAAGACCTAAGAGCAAATAACTTTCAACCCAGATCAACGTATCTAGCAAGGCTATCCTTCAAAATGGAGGGAGAAATAAAGACATTGCAAGAAAAGGCCAGCTCAAAAGATACATGAATGCTAAACCAGCACTCCAGAAAATAAGAATAGCCCATGCAGAAACGATGAAACTAATATGGCTAACAACACAGATGAAGCAACAACACCAAATAAAGTCAGTGGATGAACAGCAACAAAAAATGACGGGAAAAGAAAAACAAAGAAATCACCAACAGAGAGAATGCAATGATGGTGAATAATTAACACATCGTACCAATATCTCTCAACATTAATGGCCTCAACTCTCTACTTAACAGACACAGATTGGCGGAGTTCAGTGAGACTCCCCGTAAAGCAGGATAGAAGAAAGAAAGAAAGGTTAAGGAGACGAGGACAGTGTAATTGAAAAATTGTTCTTTCGAGAAAACTGCAGCTTCAAAACACAGTCAGTGTTACCCAAGGTTACAATTTTTTTTCACCTCTGGGCTTGTTTCTCACTTCTAAATTCTTAAAAATCTGAAAGATAAAATAAATTTCTAGACTCAGAGCTGAGGAGTTTGGAAAGAAGGGGGTCCAAGACGGGCTCCTGCTTCCTCCATGGATGGTACTCAGGGACCTGAGACCTGCAGGAAACCCAGTGACACAGTAGAACCCTGGCTAGAGCACACACAATGGGTGGGCAGGCCTACTGGCTCAGACAAGTCCCAAGCAACAGTAACAATATGAACCAGCAGGTGATAAGTTAGGTGAACCACCGTTGTGCTTGGGGACAAAGACACATGGAATAGAAGTGGGTGGGTGGTGCCACCTCTTTTCTTTTTCCTGTTTTTTCTTCTTTTTCTTCCCTATTTTCTTTTTTAAACAGCTGGAGAGAACTCCAGTCACAAAAAACTAATCCCATCCCAAAGATCAGACTCAAACCCATCACAAATCCACCTGCAATCTTGGCTAAAGTACACATTCTGGGATCAGACTTGGAACTACCTCAGAGCTGTAGACACTAGAGGAATCTCCTTGCTTTTATTTTTCTCTGTCTGATGGGTTTTCCCACTGGCAGTCTGCTGGCTTAGTGTGTTTTGTTTTGCTGTTTATTTTTGTTGTTATTGTTGTTTTTTGTTTTTGTTTTTTCCTATTCTTGTCTTTTTCTCTCTATTCTGTTTTGCCCTGTTTTGTTTTTCTCTCTGTATGTTTGTCACTTTTTCCATGTGTGTGATTATTTTTGTTTCCTGGTTTTATTTTCTTTTTTTCTCTTTTTTTCCCCTCTCATTCATGATTTAGTTCTCTAAACTTTCCCTTGGTATTATTCCACTAATCCTTTTTCTCTCTCATCAACTATCTCGCTTGATTTTATGAGACTTTCATGTGGGTAAACATTGTCTCTTCCCCTTTATGGTTCACTTCAGTACTCCTAGGCTTTCTCTTCCAGTCCCTCCCTCTTCTATCATATAACTACCCCAACACCTGATGATCATCCTATGCCCACAGTTTAAGTCATACCACAGTGATACGTGTACAATTATAGCTAAATCCTGGAAACACACCATATGCCCATCAACAGATAAATCGATAAAGAAAATGTAGTGTTTATATACAATAGCATAAAAAAGTGTTGAGGACCATACTATGCAATTTTTTGGGAAAAATCGTTTCATAGTTAAACTGTGGTTAGGCCTTGTTCGAGGCCTAGTGTTCTCATCATACATGCTGGCTAGGGTATGTGGGAACATAACTCCCTGTGCCTCCAGTCACAGTTGAGGCCTCAGTGGTCCCATGATGTGTGATTCCCCAGGGCATCAGCCGAAGACATCCTGGTTCCTTGAGAACCCAGGAGTAATAAAAGTAAGGTTTCACTTTCAGGAAAGGACAAACTTCTTAACCTGCCATCTGTCACTACCATCCTCATCAATCTAAAGATCCTCATTACATAAGACCACTGCTAAATCATCCAACATGATCCTCATCAGCATAAGACCTTCGCAGCACAAGATCATCCCTGCTGTCTGGGGTCATCCCATAACCCCTCCAATTATTGTGTACGCCAGATAGAAAGTGGCTAGTTTGGAGTGTAATTGTCTTTGCTCATCCAGAGGCATTCACCTCCCAGCCCCCCAGTTATACATTGCTAAATTTGTCTCTGTTTATTATTTCATCCTTCCACCATCCCCATCATGCAGGCAGTTGGGTATGTTGGCCAGGTCCCCAATTAAGAAGGTTAAGTTTGAGACATTTTCCCGTAAATGGCTGCACCTCAAGATCATAATCTTCAGTGAAATAAATCAGGCACACATGATGGAGACTGCTGTGAAGTGGTGCTGAGCAGGCTTTAAAATTGATCAGTTGGCTTTCCATATTTACTTATGAGTCTGTCCCACGCGTAGGTGAGTTGCCCAAAGAGCTGGTAGCTGGGATGCAGTAAATATAACTCTCCATGCCAATGGTCACAGTAGAGACCTATATTGGTCTGTGATGCTTTGACACCTCTGAGGGCAAGATAAGGCCACAACTGAGGACATTTGACTCTCACTCTGATTCCAGGACTATAATCACCAACATGAGAGGTAAGACAGTTCCCTTAATTAGCAAGACGTACTGCCTAGAATGTCTTTGTTCTAACTTCTCAAGTCCTGATCATTTTTGTGGGCTTTTGCCTCAGATATTCCCTCCACTTCCTGTGCCCTCCTAAATTGTTAAGGACCTAACAAATATGGACAGTTCAGAGAAGTCTTTGTATTAGCTCCAAGAGAGTTCTGACCTCCCTGGGTTCTCTACAAACCATACTGCTTTTTGTTTTTATTTAATCCTTTTCCATATGCTTGTCTCTAAGATCAGGAGCCTGATCAGCTCCCAAGAACACAAATTTATATATTGTATTGCTTTATGTCTGTGAGAAACTCAAAGTATAAATAAGGAGCAAAATGGGGAGAGATATTAGGAAGCAGGAAGAACTTGTTCAAGTGGAAAAGAGAACAATAGATGGGGGAATGGAAAAGAAATTTTAAACACCAGAATTGAAAGAATAAAAAGGAAATAGGTCTTCTGAAATTGGGAGGAGAGAAGAGTTGGACAGAGAGGAAAGAAAGGGGACCAAAAAATAGAATTAAGATGTGCTATATACATGTACATATCCCCCATGATGAATGTGATCATCATATGACCATGGTATCTATTGTACAGACTCATAAGTAAATATAGAAAGCAATCATGTACTAATAAAAAATAAAATACATAAAAAATAAACTCATGTAACCCACAAAGATATTCATAGACTAAAAATTAAAGGATGCAACAATTGGCCAAGAAGAGATAACATTTACAAATATTTTTGCACCAAATATTGGAGAACCTATCTTCATAAAACAAATATTGCTGAACATAAAGGATAAAATAAATACTAACATAATCATTGTGGGGGATAGTAGCACTTCTCTTTCACAAAGAGATAGGTCAAGTAAACAAAAAAAGTAATAAAGAATTACCAGACCTGAATCACATCTTTGAACATAGACATGGACTTAGCAAATATCTACTGAATATTCTACCTCACCACAACAGAGTATATTTTTCTCTGCAGCACATAGTACTTTTTCCAAAGTAGATCACTTGCTACTCCACATAGCCTTCTTAAACAAATAAATATAAATATGAGCCTTTTTACTGTTTCTCTCTGTCTCTCTGTCTCTGTCTCTTTCTGTCTCTCTCTTTTCCTCTACCTCTCTCTCTCTCTGCAGAGTGTATTTCTTTTCTGCCTTCAATAAATATACATTTCACTGTCTTTTCTGTGTGTCATGTCCAATTCTTTGTTTGGGACACCAAGAACCTGGGGAGAAGCTCCAAGGGAACTTCTCCAAGGATCCATTCACACTAATACTAAAATCTTACTTTTTCTCCCTGGTGTTAGTGGCATTTTTCAAATTCGCCTCACACTGTAAAGGAACCATGGACCTTTGGTCTTACTGACAATTTATTTCAACAGGTTATACATACAATAATAAGCAATTTAACCATTAAAAAAGCATAAGCTGCTTTCTAGTAAATTTTAATCCTGACCATTAGAATTAAATATTAATCTTTGGGAATTG